TCAGTTACATTCACTTAGTAAAATCCACTTTAACACCAGTATAGATGGTGCACATATGCCAGCCCACTAGGTGGCAGTAATGTCTTTATATGTTGACTATATGAGCTGTCATTTTAATGGGAGTTCATACTGAAATATAAACATTTGTCTTGTTCAACTCCACGTTTGTCTGTTAGTTAATTAACTCAGTAATATAAACATTTGTCTTGTTCAACTCCAGTTCATTAACTCAGTCGTAATTAATTAATCATGATTCATTTGTATTTTAATTTTGTGATTTATTTACTTGTTGTTTAAGTGTTGTTTTTTTTTATCTCTAAGACATGAATCACTGCTGTGGTTTCTGCAGGGTTTCCGTTTCACCCAGCTGCCTGACATGGGCATCGGTTCACCTCCACCACCACTGATCCCCTCCAGACCAGTACCAGGACCACCACCGGGCCCCCCAATACGACGGTAACACACACACACACACACACACACACACACACAGGGTGTAACAGTAGAACAGGAAACCAACGTTAGGCCACAGCAGAACATAGTTCATACAGACAGTTACCGATGCTGCCATCTGCTGGACGAAGATATACTACAAGCCCTAAGAAGAAAAAAAAAAACATTACTAAAATTACTAAAATATGAGAAAAATAAAAGTTATAATTTGTATCTGGTCTTTAAAATTAAAAAAAAATTGCAAATGTAAATATATATAAATATATATTAATCATCACAGGGGGAGAATTCGATTTTGATTTAAGCTGATTTATTTTTTGTATATAAATTATAAAAAATAAACACGTTAGTTATTCAATATTATAAAGTTATGTATGTTTTGAAAACACTGGGCTGCACCTTCATCAGGTGAGGAGCCCAAAACCAAAGTCTCCACTGAGGCACCAAAACAACTGGAGCCGACCCTGACAGCATCAACATGGACACACTGTGGTGTAACTGTTATAAAAATATATGTTTATCAAATATATATGAGGTGGAGACGTCGACGCCCAGTTTGTTACATGACCACTGAGCTGATGCTGACAGAATGATTGACAGCTTCAGTTCAATACAGGAGAACACACTGTGAATATCAATTCATGTGGTTCCACCCCCCCCCCCCACCCACACCCACCCTCTCTCTCTCTCTCTCTCTCTCTCTCTCTCTCTCTTTTTCTCCCCCCTCTCCTCTCCCCCCTCCTCTCTCTCCATCAGCATCTTCATTTAAATGCAGTTGCCGTGTTCTGTTCACCCTGTTGCTGGGCACTTCAGCACTGCAGAGTTTTACCTTAAAGAATGCAAAGAGGAGCATGACCGCCATCTAGTGGATAGTCTTATTATTATTAATAATAATAATAATAATAATAATATTATTATTATTATTATAATATAAAATAATATAGAATAATAATAATATAAATAATATAAAATAATAATAATAATATAAAATATTATATTATTATTATTATTATTATTATTAATAATAATAATAATATAATATTTTATATTATTATTATTATTTTATATTATTTATATTATTATTATTCTATATTATTTTATATTATAATAATAATAATAATATTATTATTATTATTATTATTATTAATAATAATAATAAAAACGTCCTTCGGTGTTGATGCAGCGCCATCTGTTGGTGGAACAAAATCAGCTTAAAGATGTTGTGCGAAGACCGCAGAGACGTCAGTGAGGACGTTAATGATTCCATCAGTGTCCACTCCAAAGACGTCCAGTCTCTGACTCGTCCTCGTCCTGGTGTAATTGGAGTTGGAGACACGGATGCCTGACCACATGTTTTATTAGTTAATCATTTCACTGGACACACTCCAGCTCCTCCCGTGTCCCGGGGGGAGCAG